TAGATTATAGATGGTATAATAGATTATAGATAATAGATCTATGGGATGGGATTATAGATTATAGATTATAGATGGTATAATAGATTATAGATAATAGATCTATGGGATGGGATTACAGATTATAGATTATAGATGGTATAATAGATTATAGATAATAGATCTATGGGATGGGATTATAGATTATAGATTATAGATGGTATAATAGATTATAGATAATAGATCTATGGGATGGGATTATAGATTATAGATTATAGATGGTATAATAGATTATAGATAATAGATCTATGGGATGGGATTATAGATTATAGATTATAGATGGTATAATAGATTATAGATAATAGATGTATGGGATGGGATTATTAGATATAGATTATAGAGGTATAATAGAATTATAGATAATAGATCTTGGATGGGATTATAGATTATAGATTATAGATGCTATAATAGATTATAGATAATATATCTATGGGATGGGATTGTAGATTATAGATTATAGATTGTATAATAGACTGTAGATAATAGATCTATGGGATGGGATTATAGATTATAGATGGTATAATAGATGATAGATAATAGATGTATGGGATGGGATTATAGATTATAGATTATAGATGGTATAATAGATTATAGATAATAGATCTATGGGATGGGATTATAGATTATAGATTATAGATGGTATAATAGATTATAGATAATAGATCTATGGGATGGGATTATAGATTATAGATTATAGATGGTATAATAGATTATAGATAATAGATCTATGGGATGGGATTATAGATTATAGATTATAGATGCTATAATAGATTATAGATAATAGATCTATGGGATGGGATTATAGATTATAGATTATAGATGGTATAATAGATTATAGATAATAGATCTATGAGATGGGGTTATAGATTATAGATTATAGATGGTATAATAGATTATAGATAATAGATCTATGGGATGGGATTATAGATTATAGATTATAGATGGTATAATAGATTATAGATAATAGATCTTTTGGATGGGATTATAGATTATAGATTATAGATGCTATAATAGATTATAGATAATATATCTATGGGATGGGATTGTAGATTATAGATTATAGATTGTAAAATAGACTGTAGATAATAGATCTATGGGATGGGATTATAGATTATAGATGGTATAATAGATGATAGATAATAGATGTATGGGATGGGATTGTAGATTATAGATTATAGATGGTATAATAGATTATAGATAATAGATGCATGGGATGGGATTGTAGATTATAGATGTTATAATAGATTATAGATAATAGATGTATGGGATGGGATTTTAGATTATAGATTATAGATGGTATAATAGATTATAGATAATAGATCTATGGGATGGGATTATAGATTATAGATTATAGATGGTATAATAGATTATAGATAATAGATCTATGGGATGGGATTACAGATTATAGATTATAGATGGTATAATAGATTATAGATAATAGATCTATGGGATGGGATTGTAGATTATAGATTATAGTTGGTATAATAGATTATAGATAATAGATCTATGGGATGGGATTATAGACTATAGATTATAGATGGTATAATAGATTATAGATAATAGATCTATGGGATGGGATTATAGATTATAGATTATAGATGGTATAATAGATTATAGATAATAGATGTATGGGATGGGATTTTAGATTATAGATTATAGATGGTATAATAGATTATAGATAATAGATGTATGGGATGGGATTATAGATTATAGATTATAGATGGTATAATAGATTATAGATAATAGATCTTTTGGATGGGATTTTAGATTATAGATTATAGATGGTATAATAGATTATAGATAATATATCTATGGGATGGGATTGTAGATTATAGATTATAGATTGTATAATAGATTGTAGATAATAGATCTATGGGATGGGATTATAGATTATAGATTATAGATGGTATAATAGATTATAGATTGTAGATCTATGGGATGGGATTATAGATTATAGATGAAAGATTTATCAACAAGATCATACTATGTTATAGTATCAACTTTGGTATAGTAGATTATAGATGATAGATTATATGGAATAGAAGATTATACATAGTTTTCAATGATTATCGGATAATTATGGAATCTTTGCAATGAATCATACCAACTTCTTGGATTGGTGGTTTGGATAATCCCAACTGACGAACTCACATTTTTCAGAGGGGTTGAAGCCACCAACCAGATAGTATGGTATAGTAGATTTTAGATGATAAGAGAACTACAAGTGATCATTATAGATGGTCATATCATACTATGATAGTAGTACCCAAATGCGAACCATGGTGCTGGAATATGCACACGAACATTTACCCGAACAAAATCACCGTTCAATATAGGTAAATATACCAGCACCATGGTTCGCATATGGGTATTATTGGTTTATCCTAAAAAGTGATTTTAACCATGGGATTTGGTTGGTTTATCCTTAAAATAATATCATATTCCTTAATGGTTTTGATCTCACATTATTAGTTTATCCTAAAAAATGGTGGGTACACTCCAAGATGGCTATGTTCAGCAAAACGAGAGTGTGAACATGGCAGAGCGGCAACCACAATAATGTGATAATATGAGAAGTGACAGCGAAGAAACTAGAGAAACAAATCATAGAATCTGATCAACTGTCAAATTTGAGAGATGTTTCAAAATCAAAATTCAAAGTTGATTGGTGCTTTGGAACATGACTTTTATATCCTCCTGCCAATTTCCACTACTAAATGCTATGACCTAGGTCCCGGAAAGTGAACCAAAAATTTAGTGTGAAATTTCCAGAAACCATTTAGTAGAGAATCATGATTTTCAAAAAAAAATCAAGTAAACATCTCTAGACCCATGATCCACATTTAGTAGTGAGGTAAAAATGATATGTTAATCATATGATGTCAAATGTTGTTTCTTGGGTAAAACCATTTAGTAGAGATGTCAAAAAAATGTTGCAAAATCACAGGAACCATTTAGTAGAGGTTGCGAAGTAGAGTTCATAAAACGGTCACAATGACACGAGACAAAACTGAAAAACCATTTAGTAGAGATTCCCATTCCGTTGCCCCCGATAGTCGTTTGGCCAATCCATGTCCATCAGGATGAATCACGTAAATCTAGATAGTATATGATAATAGATGCTCAAAAAAATAAGAAGCTTGAAAAATAAATATAAATTCTAGAATGCCAATGAATATCAAAGATATTCCTGGGTTGAAGTAAATCAACATGATCGGGTATACCGCGATATGAAACAACAGAAGTTGGACAAAGATAGCATCCTTGCGGTATCCTGCCATGCCGCCTCCAGTCTAGCCAAGTGCTGCCTCTACTAAATGGATGGTCATGGGATGTGTCTATCTAGAACTGTTTCAAACAAAGCCCTGTTGCATCCTTGTGTGCCCTTATTATCCCTTACGTGCTATGGAACACCATTTTGTAGTCCCAAAATGTCCAAATTCTATCAAGATTTCCCCTGTCTAGCCAGGTGCTGCCTTGCCTTTTTTGAGGGCAATGCCAAATCCCTCGCTTGGGTGTTTCTTGCTCGTCGGGTGCTGCCTTTCGTGTTTGTTTTTTTTTTGCGTTTTTTGGGGGGCGATGCCAAATCCCTCGCTTGGGTGTTTCTTGCTCGTCGGGTGCTGCCTTTCGTGTTGGGGTTCTTTTGTTGCCTTTTTTGGGGGCGATGCCAAATCCCTCGCTTGGGTGTTTCTTGCTCGTCGGGTGCTGCCTTTCGTGTTGGGGTTCTTTTTTGGCCTTTTTTGGGGGCGATGCCAAATCCCTCGCTTGGGTGTTTCTTGCTCGTCGGGTGCTTACTAAATGGATGGTCATGGGATCAGTCTATCTAGAATTGTTTGAAACAAAGCCCTGTTGCATCCTTGTGTGCCCCATTATCCCTTACGTGCTATGGAACACCATTTTGTAGTCCCAAAATGTCCAAAATGTGTCAAGATTTCCCCGTCTAGCCAAGTGCTGCCTTGCCTTTTTTGGGGGCGATGCCAAATCCCTCGCTTGGGTGTTTCTTGCTCGTCGGGTGCTGCCTTTCGTGTTTGTTTGTTTTTGCGTTTTTTGGGGGGCGATGCCAAATCCCTCGCTTGGGTGTTTCTTGCTCGTGGGGTGCTGCCTTTCGTGTTTGTTTTTTTTTGCGTTTTTTGGGGGGCGATGCCAAATCCCTCGCTTGGGTGTTTCTTGCTCGTCGGGTGCTGCCTTTCGTGTTTGGGTTCTTTTTTTGCCTTTTTTGGGGGCGGCCAAATCCCTCGCTTGGGTGTTTCTTGCTCGTCGGGTGCTTTCTAGATGGATGGTCATGGGATCAGTCTATCTAGAACTGTTTGAAACAAAGCCCTGTTGCATCCGTGTGTGCCCCATTATCCCTTACGTGCTATGGAACACCATTTTGTAGTCCCAAAATGTCCAAAATCTCTCAAGATTTCCCGCCTTTTTTTGGGGGCGGATGCCAAATCCCTCGCTTGGGTGTTTCTTGCTCGTCGGGTGCTGCCTTTCGTGTTTGTTTTTTTTTTTTTGCCTTTTTTGGGGGCGGCCAAATCCCTCGCTTGGGTGTTTCTTGCTCGTCGGGTGCTTACTAAATGGATGGTCATGGGATCAGTCTATCTAGAACTGTTTCAAACAAAGCCCTGTTGCATCCTTGTGTGCCCTATTATCCCTTACGTGCTATGGAACACCATTTTCTAGATCCCAAAAATGTCCAATCTATTCAAAATTTTCCCTGTCGAGCAAAGTGCTGGCCTTGCATTTTTTGGGGGCGATGCCAAATCCCTCGCTTGGATCGCTTGGGTGTTTCTTGCTCGTCGGGTGCTGCCTTTCGTGCTTGGGTTCTTTTGTCGCCTTTTTTTTTGAGCGATGCCAAATCCTTCGCTTGGGTGTTTCTTGCTCGTCGGGTGCTGCCTTTCGTGTTTGTTTTTTTCATGTTGTTTTCTCTACTAAATGGACCCCGTGTATTTCTCTACTAAATGGCTTTGGGGTTTTGGTCGAGTAATGTTGGTCCCGCAACTTGTGCTCAAATGAGTAGCTCTACTAAATGGAACAGGGTGTTTGGTCGAGTCATGTTGGCGTCTTAAGACACTCTGAAAATATATCCAAATTTTGCGCTTCAGCTGAACCAGGGGCCCACATTTAGTAGTGAAATTCGATCATGCATGCACATCCATTTAGTAGAGCTTGAGGCTATGCAGGCCGTTTCTTCACTACAAAATGGTTGCACAGCCCCAACCCTTAATTGACAGGGGGTTACTTTTATATGTTTCCATTAATATTGGGAGTGTCATCATCCCAACTGACGAAGTCATATTTTTCAGAGGGGTAGGCTCAACCACCAAGCAGCAAAGAGACATCCTGTTGAGAAAGAAAACTGATGGTCTGTCGAACATTTCCCGTTGACTGTCCCATTCTATTCCCGCAAGATCAATGGCCATTTCCCATTCTATTCCCGCAAGATCAATGGCCATTTCAGATACCCAAACTGGAGGTACCGTATCATTAAAGAAAAACATAGTACTTGGGGTACATCCCCTTACATAGCCCTTACGTAGCCCTCTTACATAGCCCTTAGAAAAATGGTAGCTACCCTCTGGTAAACTGATAAACTAACATAGCGAACTGGAAAATCAGCATGTTATATAGGTAAACCATGGTAAACCAACTAGAAATCACCCATTTTCCAGTTCGCTATGTTAGTTTACCAGATGGTAGATTTGCGATCTTTTCCGGTTCCGCTTCGACACCCAGAGCGCCAGGAATATCCGCCCATTGAGCTGCTGAAGCGCCCCTTGAGACCTGCGGGGAGACCTAGGGACCTGGGAACTGGGGGAACTGAGAACAGATAGGTTATACCTCTAGTGGTGAATGATGGTGATACCAATCATGGTCAACAATAATGGTTGATAATGGGAAAAGGAATATATATATATTGTAATGGTTCATACTGGTTAATGAATGGCGATTAATGGTTATAAATTTATAAAAGCCAGCCAGAATCATCAATAGTCGTCCATACTTATGGAAGATGATGGGGGATATGATGTAGGATATGTCATTGGATGTAGAATTATACAACCAGTTTGATATGTCTGAGAGTTGGGTTGGTCTGAAAAAACGAGGAATGACTGCCAGCTTATTGCTACATGTGTCACAATGATGACCAAATATGACCAACCAGATTGCACTCTTTTGATTGAACCGATCCAAATAAACGTTGAAGAAATTACAAATGAATTTGAACAAAACCAGCATCGGTTTTAACCATACAAAAACATATTCGATTGGGAAGCAAAACAGTTTAACCACCCAGAATGAGGCTTTACCCAAACATAACGGGGATTTGTGTGTCAAAACTGCAGCATTTTTTCAGACTGAAATTATCAGATTCATTGCCTAGATTTGCTGAAGGTTGTATGTTGTTCCCTTCGTGGTTCATGCATGAGTTTGAGAATCCCCTGGGAAGACTAGTTGTTTTGTTTGTGCTTCCAGCTAAGAAGCAGGGCAAAAATTTGGATTTTTGAGGCCAAGAGGGATTTGAGTACATGGATGGAAGAGAACAACGACCAGCAGGCATCTTCTTGGACCAGCTCCCCATGATCCAGAAGGAAGCGGCCGGCAGACTTGGCAGACGGCCGGCAGAGGGCCTGGCGGCCTGGAGTAACGTCTCCACGATGAGGCCAAGCAGGAAGTTGCTGAGCCAAGATGACTTCCAGAGCAATTCTCAGCTGATTAGCCTCTGAATCAGAGCTGGACATGTCAAAAAGTCAAAACCCAAGTATATAATACATTGACATGTGTTCAAAACCCAAAGTGTTTCTCCTTGTTTCTCCTTTTTTCATGGATTACGGAATTGGAACCCAAACACGTAGATAGGTGAATCACAATCAAACTAGTTGGGAATCATGTTTTCCATTCTCTCTTCGGGGTCCCTTTATCAACACCAGATCCATTTTCCGTCCCGCTCATGAATCCCATTTAGGCCCAATTATCAAGTCAATCAATGTCTCCATTTGTTTGTAATTTTTACAGCAGAGACATTCCGACATGCCAGCTTCGATCACCGCCTAGATGGGCCATGGAGGCTCAGTTTGTAGACTGTTTAGCAGTTTAGCAACTCTCTTCTACAACGAATGTAGTAAATATATATATAGCATTATAGAAGCTATAGCATATCCCCAACTTTTTTCAGGGGATTCCCTGGGGATATGACCATGATATGACCCAATGACCCAATTTCCTTTCTGTTCAAAAAGTCTCCCAGGACGAGATGACGATGCCCAGTTGGCTCGGACTCGTAGTGTCTCGGTGCTAGTTGTGTCCCCATGGCAACGCCCCTTAGGATAACATGATTTTGAAAACCAAAGAAAGCACCCCTGAAAAACTATGTTTGTATACATAATTACATATATATATATATTTATATACATATTGATTGTATATTTG